CCCCAAAACCCCAAAACCCCAAAACCCCAATATGCCATTATTGAAGATAGAATGATTTGGTAGCACAGATATAATTCAAAAAATATATGAGAGTGTAAATGCATATATTTCTGAGTAATTCTGACCCATAAACAAATAGCGAGTGCAGGCATTCCCGAATAAGAGGAAGTGGGAGAGGTAAGAGTGGAACCCCTCGTGGGTCATCCGCTAAAATTGGAACGATACAGAGAAGATTAGCATGGCCCCTGCGCAAGGATGACACGCTCAAATCGAGAAGTGTATCCCAGTTTTTTTGGCTCTTTATAGCTTTTTGAAGGTCTCATAACAGTACCTAGAAATAATGATAGTTTGAAAATTAGAAAAAGAGTGATGACACAGTACTCATTGAAAAGTTTAATTAAAGAATTCATTTTATTAATATAATTTGCAAAATAAAAAATGAGTGAATCTTTATCAAGAGAAGATATCATCTATTATGCTAAATTGTCTGAGCAAGGCCAGAGGTATGATGACATGATAAGATACATTAAAATGCTGGCCAATGTAATTTTTGCTCTAAATATCTACTAAATAGGGATAAGAAGCTTTATCAAATGAAGTGAGAAATCTAGTGAGCGTAGCTTACAAAAATAGTGTAGGATCAAGAAGGACTGCTTTGAGAGTACTCTCAGCTATTACTACAAAAGATGAAGAAAAGGTAGAATTTTTGATTAATTTGCTTAAGTCTTGCCTAAGCTAACCCTGAATTAAGATTAAATACTCATTTTACTTATAGGAACTTATGGAAGTTTATAGATAAAAGATTCAGGATGAAATTGATAATATTGCTAATGAGATTCTAGGAATTATCGATGAGAAACTCATTCCTCAAGTTGAAGATGACTAGGAAGCTCTAGTATTATACTCTAAAATGAAAGGAGATTACTACAGATATATGGCCGAATATGCGAAAGGGGAAAAGTAAGATAACGAATTATTTTTACACTCATAGGAAGATCGACCTTGTAGAAAAGTCTAAAATTGCCTACGAGTAAGGAACTCAATAGGCTGAAAAATTGAAACCAACTAACCCAGTTAGACTTGGCTTAGCTCTCAGCAATTCTATTTTTAATCATGAAATTATACAGGACGAATCTAATGCGACATTGATTGCTAAAGTTGCCTATGATAGTGCGCTTATAAACCTGGACTCTCTTGAGGAAGATGAATATAGAGATGCCACAATCATCATGCAATATTTGAGAGATCAATTAAGTATTTGGAGTACTGATATTGGAAATGATAAGTAATTGTAGAATGAGGGTTCTGATCTATGAATTAATTTGGATTAAAGCTATAATTCTTGAAAGCTGCATAAACTCTTGTCCAGATGAAATATTCTATTAATTTTATTCTAAGATACCTGATTAATTATTTTATTACTCTCTTATTTAGAATCTAATCATCAATTATGGGGTTTTGGGGTTTTGGGGTTTTGGGG